GTTTGAGGCTAAAGGTACTTTCGCTTAATAAAATATTTAGTTATTATTATTTAAACTTTAAATTTTTTGGTAGGTACGATACAAATCACGTGAATTGGTAGGTGTCCGGAGACTTTCCCATTAATTAAATTGATGCACACTATTGATAACTATGCAGCAGAACACTTTTATGATTATGCCTTAACAATAAGAGAAGAGTGAGTGAGATGAAAAGGCGAGACGAAACAAAAGGCGAGACGAAACGAAAGGCGAGAAGAAATGAAAAGGAAAGACGAAACTAGACAATTTAGAGATTATTTGAATTTAAAAAAAATAAAATAAAATAAAATACAGTGTGTTGCAAAAAAAACCAGAAAATTTTGCACATGATATATACTCACGAACTAATTTAATGCCAATAAAATAATTTGAAGGGTATTAGACAAGTAATTGTAAATAAGTATTTAGAAACGTGTATTTATGAATAAGTATTTATATTCATGATTTTAATTTCACTGATTAACGTTAATAAGTCATCTTTATACTCACATACTAATTTAACGCGAATAAAATAAATTTATTATAGGTTAGATCTTGAAAACTTAAATTTTTTACTTCACTAGTCATATGTAGAGATATCACCCAAACCCATGGTTTCGGCACGTGGCCAAACTCAAATAGCTGAAACTAGTTTGGGACTTTGCCAAAATAAAATCCCAAACTATAAAGATATAATTTTTCATAACGAATAACTATTAAAATTAACAAGCATTAATTTCTATTATTAAATAGCATCAATTTTTTATATTTATTATTTGCAGCATTCATTTACATTTTTTTATATTTTTTAATATTTGCAGAATTACATGTTTTTATACGCTAATTATATTATTGCTCTGTAGCTTCTAAAGTTTCTTTTACAATATCTCTAATAATTCAAAAATTTTAACCCTTTTTTTGAAAAAACAACACAATTTATTTATTACTGTGTTAGCATAGACCGAGTTCATTTTCTGCTAAGTTTAACAAAAAACGAATTTATAATAATATAATCAATATATTATCTTATATTTACTAATAAAATTTTCTTAGTAGCGAAATTTAGTTACATATTCTAATAATAAATATTTTTTTTTATATATGAGAACACTATTATTATTTTACTGTTCTCAAAATATTTTTAATAGTGAACAGTAAATTCTTATTAGTGTTCTCATGAGAACTCTGAGAACACTAATTTCCAACACTGGATATAAATCCGCATGATCCAACTTTTTTAGATTGGATTTTTGATTACTAATTCTTATGCATAATTTAAACACAAAAGGTAAGTGGTAAATTCTAAATAACTCTTACTTGACATTGTATTCGTTAAACGTCTGTTGGGCGTTCGTTAAACGTTTGTTGTATGTTCGTTGAACTTCCTGTAATAAAATGTTAAACTCTGATAAAAAAAATCAACGCACAGCTATTGCGCACCTATGGACCCAAGGCATATATAATGCTATGGAGATACATAGATGGACTAACGCCCCTCTCTCTACAATATATGACAACCTAAAAAAACTTAAAACCAAAGGAACAATGGACCATGCAAAAGGCAATGGTCGACCAAAAAAAATAACTAAACGTGCTGCACAAGCACTTGGACAGTATATTCATAAGAATCCTTCTATTTCCACACGAACAATGGTGAACAAACTAGAAAAAACAGGTGTTAAGGTATCGCATAGCACTATCTCACGGCATTTGGCAGATGCAGGATACACGAATAGCCTTCCCCAGAAGACCCCCATGCTTACGGTTAAGCACAAACTTGCACGTGTAAAATGGGCTGAAAAACATCTTGAAGATAACTGGAATCGCACTTTTTTCACCGATGAAACGGCCTTCCAGCTTTTTAGAAACACTTTAAAGTATTGGTATAAAGGATCACGACCAGTTAGGCGAATTCCAAAAGACCGAACAAAGCTTAAAGCGTGGGGTGGATTTTGGGTGAAAGGTAAATCAAGTCTGTATTGTTTTAAAGGAATTATGAATGCAGAATTTTATGTTAATATTATTAAAAAACATCTTCCCGAAGTAAAAAAAATGCTTGGCAGGCGGTGGCAGTAGCAACAAGACAATGATTCGAAGCATACGAGCCGCCTTGCCACAGCTTTTATTAAAAAAAATGTTCCTGTTCTTCTTGACTGGCCCTCCAATAGTCCCGATATTAATCCTATTGAAAATCTTTGGAGTGTTGTTAAGCAGAATGTTGAGAAACGTATGCCAAAAGATCTTAGTGAATTAGAACGTTATATGATTGAAGAATGGAACAAAATTCCCAATTCATTTTTAGCTAATTTAGTTGGTTCAATGAGAAGGCGATGCGAGCTTTTAATTGAGAAGGATGGTGAACATATATCATATTGATCTTTTTGATTTTTTTAATAAATAAACATCTGGTTATATATTACAAGTCGTGTAAGTTTCGTTTAATTTTAGTGATAATGCTACGCCATAGTCACGTGATATACAATTCCGGTTTTTTTTGCAACACACTGTAAAATAAAATAAAAAAAAACCGCTTTAAAAAAACGGATCATGGTTAAGAGAAAAATACGTGCAAAGCTTCGTGAATATAACAATATAAGAAAGAAAGTGGCCAAAGAAAGATCAGAGATGGCGGATATGTTAAAAGAGAAGGATAATTTTGAACAGAATTCGGAGAAATACAGTAGTTTTAGTCAGGAGGAATGCAGTAGTCAGGAGGAATGCAGTAATCAGGAAGAATTTAGTGATCAGGAGTATGAAGGTGTAGATGAAGAAGAAAGAACACGAATACGTTTACTTGCAGTACCTCTCGTATGGAAAAAAGGATCTAAAATAAGGACAGTAAGGGGGTTTTCCAAATCAACCTATTATCGCAAATTTGGTGCCTCAGGCACACTTACCAATGCAGCCAAAGGAACTTCCAAAATTACCTGTTTTTTTGAACCTTCAACATTGACATCACCAATATATTCGACTGCGTTCCCGGGACATTCAATTTTGGACAATAATGAGAATGAAAGTGATGATAATGATAGTGGTGAAGGTGACGATATTAGTGAGGATGCACGTTTTGAGCTTGGTGATGTAATTGCACAGCTTCAGGATGAGCTTTTAAAAAATGAAAGAACCTTCACTGCTCTAGAATATAACGAACGACGAGTTGTTTACGAATATTTTATACGGCTATATGATGGTCATGGGAAAGTGAAAGCAAGTGAAGCCGCAGCGAGCATAGTTTACATCAACCCGAACCCATATAAATGTAAAAGAGTCCGTTTTCTTGGCAATTTTTATTTGCGTAATGAATCATTTCCGCTATCCTATCGTGGCCGGTATCAAAAATATAAACGGTTAGTTGATGATGAAGATGTGGCACTAAAATATATACAGTGGATACGAGAAGAATCCGGAGTAAATGGCGTTAGTCCATCTCAATTTAGACAATATGTCAATTCTGTTATTTTACTTGAGCATACGGGAGAGATAAAAAAGTCAATTAGCCTAAGAACGGCTAAAAGATGGTTAAATGTTTTAGGTTGTCAGTTTAAAAAATACCGAAAGGGTATGTACTTTGATGGACATGAACGAAGGGACGTTGTCGAATATCGGAAGAGATTTTTAGAAGAGATGAATATTTTAGAACGACGGATGGCAACTTATGAGGGAATAAACATGGAACGGGTTTCACCTGTACTTAAAGTAGGCGAGCGAGAGTTGATCCTTGTCACTCACGATGAGTGTATCTTTTATTCATACGATGGAAAAAGAGGAATTTGGGTATATGATGGGATGATGCCATTACGTAAGAAAGGGAATGGAAAATCGATTATGGTAAGTGAATTTGTTTCG